GCCCCGACGCAGCAAGAGCAGCCCTCAGGGTTTTCCCCACCTTAGAAAGATGATTTTTTTTCTTTTCTTCCCCCGCCCCGCCCCCCAATAATTAATTTTTTTGGATTTTTTAACCTTATTTCATCGGTTTTATTTAATTTCTGCAGCAGAGTGGTGGTGGTGGGAAATACAACACACGAGTTGGCATAAAAAACAACCAGGACAACATCTTTTTTTTTTTTTTTTAAATTAACCCCTAAATAGGGGCTTGACAGGATTTTAAATTAACCCCTAACACAGAGAGGAATCCAGTTTCAAGAAATCTGGCTTATAAATTACTTTTTCCCTTCAAGTCCCTGTGTCAGCAGCAGATGATGGTGCTCAGGCTTTTCCCCAGCCAGCATCTGCGCATCCAGCTGAGCTATACATGTGACAGAAAGGCTGACTGGTGTCACTATGGCAAAGTTTCCCTGTGTTTTCAAGTGCTGGACTTAAAAACATTGCTATAACCCTCGCCAGTGTAGGAACAGACTACAGGATTCCTGGAGTTAACTCCATTTCTGGAGAGAATAGAATGGCGATGTTACAAAGGAAAAATTAATTTTTCTTTGCCTGGATAACCAAAAAATAAAAAATATCATGTTCTATTATCAGTTTTATTTCTGCTAATTAGTGCTTAAAACTAAAAAAAAAAAAAAAAAAAAAAAAAAAAAGAAAAAAAAGCTCACTTCAAGCCATTCCCACGTCCACTGGGAATGCAGTCAGACCTGGTGTGACTCTTCCCAGTTCAGGTGGACAGTGGGGAGGACAGTTTTAAGCTGTAGGAAACAAATTGCAAGGTGGCTAAGCTGGGTGTAGTTTCTGGTTCTCATCTGCACCCAGATCACTCCCCGGGCTCGATGCAATTACTCCTGAACAGGCAGTTTCCACACTGTAGTCAAAATGGAGCTTTTTTGGCAAGACTGAGACTCTCGATGGTGCCACTTCCCTCAGTTGGAGGGATGGTCCAAAGCCAATTCTGGACCGGGAAGGGACTGAACAGACGCCCTTGTCTGTACCTTCCCCTTCCTTTCTCCCCAGGACAGAGCAGGCATGTCTGCACCCTGGACTCCCATGCAACTGGACCACAAACCTCAAGGACAGTTTGTGCTACTGTCCCCAGCCCCGCGGGACCCCCAGAAAAGCCCCAGAGGCTAACTGGTTTTCTTCACGCCAGACATACTCTGCTCAGGTGGCAGAACCGTCTCTATCTGAAATGACACAAACTGGCCCTTCTTCAGCTTCTTCAGGGAGCTGGCAGCATTGCTCCCAAACACGTTGTCTTCCACTTTGAAAGCAAGAGAGGGCAGGCCCCGACTTTTCCTTTTCACACTCTTCCGCACCCGCTTGTAGGCTGTGGTCATGTTGGCGATCACCTGCAAAGCAGATTGCTTGGGTTGGGCCTTGAGATGCCGCATAAAAATCAACTCGCATCCATCTCATGTGAGGTCAGCAATTAGGAGTTGGCGCTGCAGCATGCAGAGCTCAGCTTGGCAAGTCAAGGCAGTACCAGCAAGCCCAGCACAGCTGGCTGCACCCTGGGGCCAGGGAGGGACTAAGCAAGGTCTTTCCAGCCTTATTCTCACCAACCCCAAACTAGCAAGAGATCTTAGATGAAGAAATGGTGATTTCATGGCAGTGCTCAGAGGAGCTGTTAGTTGTCCATCAGCAGAGGGCAGAAAGGGATCTAGGCTGGAGTAACACAGAGCCAAAGGAAGCTTTTATCACCTCCTGTTAATGACAGCCCCAGTCCTGGCCCATCTGCAGGCAAGTGTCAGTAACCTGGATGCCAGTCCTTATGGGCAGGGCAGGATGCTTTGGCGTTACCCAGACGGAGCTCTTGCTGCCCCGTGCCACGACGTGCATCTCCATTTCATAAAAGGGGAATCTGAGCTAGCGAGCCTGAGCTGCCAAAGGGATCAGCTGGGAACAGGTCCCACATGTTCAGCTCCCCGGCCTCCTCGCTCCTGTCCCATTTTACTGCTGCTATTTCCTGGCAAGAAGAATCACAGTCCAGGTGGGACCAGAGAGGACCACAGAACCCTGTCTAAGAAATGACAGAGCAAACAAAGCGCTTGAGCCTTGTCTATTATTTTTTGGCACACAGATCACCAAACACTTTACAGGGGACACTGAGGTTAATTTTTCAAGTCAGGAAACCAAGAAACAGAGACAATATGAGTTGCCCAAGGTCACCCAGCATATTAGAGACAGTTGGGAACCAAATCCTGGCCTTGCTCCCCAAACCCAGCTCTCTGCCCACTGGCCACTAGTCTTCATGGCAGCCCCAGTCTCCCCAGTTTCTCTCCTCCCATTTTGGGGCAGGATTACTTTTAACATTCTAACAGCCTAAAGGCTTTTTGTCCCTGCCTAAGGATGGACTCCTTTGGCTGATTTGCGATGCAGATTACAAGGCAGAGTGCTAGGCAGGCTGGGACACAGCTCTCATTAGCCTTGATGGGGTAAGCCAGTCCCTCGTATTTCATCACCCAGCTCTGAGCAACACCACCAGCTTCCTCGGGGCACCAAACAGTGCCAGCTCAGGGGGTCCGGCTCTGTTTCTGCTGCCCTTGGCATGCATCGAGGTGCCAGCGTCCATCTCTCCTCTCAGGCCAGGACTGTGGAGTCTCAGGCAGTGCTTAAATGGCATCTGCCTTGCTCCTTCCCAGCTGGACACGCGGCCTCCCTGCCACGCTTGAGCCCATCAGCTACTTGCTATGCTTGGTGACAGGAGAGAGCCTGCAGGCAAAGGACTCCTGTGAGATGGCATTTCTGGACAGATGGGGCCAGGGGCTCTCTCTGAGTGCCTGAGCAGGCACACGCTGTGATCCTTGCATGGGCAAATCCTTTCTGTGCAGCTCTTGCACAGCCTGGTGCAAGGGGCCCTGGGGGGAGCTTAGCTGCAAAATGATTTCAAGGCACTGTAAGACTTACAATTTCTTTCACCGCATTCTGCTGCTCCTGAACCGCAGCTGTGAATGGTGGGAGGTCATCTGCCTTGCCAGAGCTAGCCCCCTGCTCTTTAGGGTCCTTGACAAAATCCACCTGCAAGGTATAGATATTTGGGTGTTACTCCGTAACTGCAGCAGTGACAAATCTCCTACAAGACTCTCTTTTGTCGAGAAGTTACCTCAGATGACAGGCACACATATCTGTTGAACATGAGGAAGAAGGGGGTGTACTTTGTGACGGAGTTGACTGAGGTGCGGAAATTGAAGAGCACAGGGTCAAGGCTGGTGTCCCATTCACTAGGCTTCTCGTTCACTACACGGCAGATGGAGGATTTGAGCACCTCGGCGCTGCGGTCGTCCAAGCCTGTGCAGTCTGTGGGGTCTGCAGGGGTGAGGATCTGTGAGATGTTCCAGTGCTCACATAAATGCTGGCTGACCTGCAAAGGCAGGGGGTCATGCCCATGGGAGAATAAGGCAGGCTTGCACCACAGCAGCTAGCAGCCTCCACAGCACGAGACAGCACCGTCCCCGCGCCAGGAAACGCTACTCAGCAGAAAAAGCTCCCCAGAAAAGTTAAACCCTGACAAAATGTTTTGCAATGACTGTTCCCATGCTTGAGGCTTTCCACAGCACTGGTAGGGCAGGAATCTCATGGACATTATGTCACAGGACCTTTCCTTCTGAGCAGAAAGGCTCCAGTGTGGCTTGAGGACTTGCACCACAGAACCACAACCTTAAATCGCTAACAGGGTGAAAGCACTGGCAAATAATCTACTGCTGGAAACAGGGCTGGGGCAGGGAGAAGGCAGCATCAGCTCCTTGCACCTCCTAGATGGCACGCTGCAGCTCTGCTTTTGGGACTTGCTGCCCAAGAAAATCTGCTCAAGATCACATTGCTTTTCCTTGAACCATCTAGCACCTGGCCTACCTCCTCACAGAAGTCCCACGTCTGACTGGTGTAAATGTTCTTGGATGCTCCAAACCTGAAAAAAGAAGAGGACACACAACTGGTTCTACTCCAACACCTGCAGGGCAGAGCCAGAGAAGTTCAATCTTCATGGTAAATGGGATACAAAAGCAACAGAGGCCTTCCAGTGGAGCTGGTGCTAAAGAGGCTGGCATGACCTCACCTCCCCAAGAGCAGAGAGGTGTCTGCTGGCTCCATCTGTTCCAAAACAGCCAAGCCTGTTTGCTTTCAAAT